GCATGGATTCTAAATGCATCTGTGCCTCAGTGATCACGTCCTGGTTCTCTGCATTCTAATCTGTTCAATAATATGTTCTAGAAGCTTTCTGAGATTGAGCCCAAGCTTGTTGGTCTGTATTTCAGGGAATCCGTAGCAAGATTCCCAGACTGAGATAGCTGCTTAGTAACTCTTGCTAACTGAGGAATTTTTAAACTCTTAATATGTTGGAAATCTCTCTTCCTTGAAATTTCACATTATTAACTCACAAAGAAAGAGGAGCCGGGCTCACTGAACTCCTCTGTGAGGTGTTTTACAGGTTGAGATGTCTCACATCATCCATCTCCATTGTTTCCACATGGGGAAAGTGAAGATCAGAAGGTTTTAATACCAAGACTGAGATTACACAGTAAACTAGTAAATCTAAATTTGTAAACTCTGGAATTAGAATCCAGAATGATCTCATACCTATTCTGTGTTTTTCCTAGCAGCAGACCACAGAAAAGGAATATGGAGTTTATCCTGGCGGGAGTCACTCTATTTGCAATCAGTTTGAACAGTCCAGCTAATGAGATTGCTGCTGTAAAGTTCCCTGAGATAGATTAAATTCAGACCCTTAGGAATATGTCCTTACTTGCCCTGATGTCATGATCAGCTGGTAACTCCTGGGACCTCATAATGTGATCACCTAGAAACAACTTTAGCATGAACTTCCCCTTTAAAATCCCCATGTTCAGACGTATTTCTAAGGTGTCCAATCAGAATGTATAAAACACATCTAGTACCTGAAGATAAGCTCAAGTTGAGAAGACCCATTGAGCAGATGAAATTCATCCACCTCTGTGCCTCATTATATAGGGTCCTCAGGGAAGTTAAGATGCATCTTTGCATAGAAAAAGATGCCATGACTTTCCTGATGACCTAATATAAAAGATTAAACCTTTCTTCTTTCGAGTACTTTCTCAGGCTCTGCTGAGAGGGAAGGAAATCATAGAGCAGTCTCAGAACGGCTTTTCCCTTTAAAATCTCCTTTGGAGAAGGTGGAAAGAGAAATCTCAAAACAGTTGGTGGGTACCAAGAGGTCAGTTCTCTTCAAGAATGCTCCAAAGCCCCGTCCTCATTAATCAGTTTATGGAGCATTATGGAAGAATTGTAAGCCCAACATGTTGTTTCTGAGCCAGTTCTCTCTTTTTACCTCCACAGCAAGCCCATTGCTTGCTTTCCTGGGACGTGAAGACAACCAGATAGTGTCAATAATTTATCTTCTTTGTTTTTCCAAAGCCAAGTGGAGGTCACCGTGAACTCCACAACACTTGTTGAATTGGTGTGAAAGAAAATTCTGGGTGGGCGAGGATTACGCTTAGCCAGGGTTCTGCTGAACTCTCTCGATATGAATCTTTCTATCCACTTCTGGTCTCTCGCGTGCCTTGTCAGGATACCTGTGTGGCCTCATTCTCAACCAACCAGCATAATTTTCTTGTAGAACCTAGTTCTTGCAGAACGAGTTTCCCTTGTCAGACCTGGTTCTGTCTTTTCATAGTCCTCAGAATATAAATTTAAAAAAAAAAAATTGCTAGTGGGTACATGCACTCACCAAAGGAGGAGAGAGAGGGAGAAGGAAAAGGCACTTCCCATGGGGAATAGACATGCTGCAATCCCTTCTCCATCCTGTTGGGATTTGGGGCACATATGTGTGTACACTCAGCATGTTTTTCATGCTACTGGATCCAGGACTTGAACTACAGGTTCAGCTATGTAGGATCTGGCTTCTTGAACCACCAGGTCATGGAACTAGCCCTAAGGTTGTTCTTATTTATGGGTCTTAGGGTGTGATGCTCACCCCTCTACCTGATATACCACATACAAGAGCACTTTGTTCCATTGTCTTCCTTTGTTTTCCTGCAACTTCTTGTGCATTGATTTTATTTAAAGTTTTGTTTATTTCATGAGCGTGAGAGCAAGGGAGAGAGAGACAAGCACCCTCAACAGGGTCTCACGCCACAACTCCCCCACCTCTAGCCTTTCCAGCCAGCTAGGATCATGGACACGCCAATGTGTCCACGATGAATACAAACGAATAGATGAATATAAATAAAATTTTCAGATATTTCTAAAGTATCTTATGTGATGTCATGGGGCTTTTTTAAAGAATGATTTATTTTATTTGCTATTATCATTATTATTATTATTTTCAATTTGACCAGAGTAAGACAGACAGAGAAAGGGAACGTGAGAAAGCAAGTTGCCAAGTCTGGGACTTGAACTGGAGTAAGCCATATGGGAGTTCAGCACCTCAACTACTGCACCATCTACTGACCCCCCATGTTGTGGGTTTTTAAAAATATTTTTTCTTTATTCATGATAGAATGTGTGTGTGTGTGTGTGTGTGTGTGCGTGTGTTTGTGTGCACGCACGCACATGTTATCAAGAGAGAGAGACAGGGAGAAAGAAGCATCTTCCACTAGTTCTAATCACACCGAATCCTCTTCCTCTAGTCCTCCAGCACGTTGATCTTGGGTACTTGCAGGGTGCCTGGCATGTTTCAAGCCAACCAGGCTGGGGATTTGAGGTGCTGCTGCCATGTGGCTTCCAACTCTGCAGTTTAGCAGGCTACCATCTGCTCCACCATTGCAGGGCCACTATCTGTTTGTTTGTTTATTCATTTGTTTTTCCAAACTAATCATTCTAAAATATTCTAAGATTATTAAAGGTTGTAGTAATAAAAAATATTTAAAACCTACATGACATTTTACAGCTAATCAACAAAAGTCTTTTACAAGATCTGTCTCATTTACTTCTCACCACAAGCCTGTAAGTTAGGCCCATATACGCCCTGTTTTACAAATAAGGTTGGAAGCTCAGAAAGACTAGACAATGTACTGTAGCATGTAGTGGCTGAGTCAGACCTTAAAACAAGATCTGATAGCTCTAAATCCTAGGCATCTTCCAAGAAATTTAGTAAACAGGTTTTCTTCACATGTGTGTTATTGTTTGGGGTTCATAATATAAACCAAGGGAGGTTGAAAGAATGGTAAGTAGTGTAATAATGTTAAATGTTTGTGAATACAAGATATTAAAAGCAAAGAGAAAGAAAATCCACAACTCTGTAGGTTAGTCGATCTGTTGAGTGTGAAATCATATTTCCTGGTGAAACATCTACTACCAAATTTTAAGCTCCTGTTCAATTAATAAGCCCATGTATGTGGATGTATATATATGGTTTTTAGATATTATACCTTTTTCTCAAGATGAACTTTGGTGAAAAAAAAATTAAATTAACATTGTTATTCTTGAGTATACTGAAGAGTTATTCAAGAGTCCAGTTACTCAAAACAAGAGTCATTTCCTCTGTACAAACTTTCAGACTTAGGTTCTGGGGGCCTGCATCATTTTTTTCTTTTTTTTTGGAGAAGTTTTTGCTATAGGGCACATATGCTTGCCAAAAAGACAGAGAGAGACAGAGAGATAGAAAGTGAGAAATCACCCTCCCAGGGGGATGGCCACACCTCAATCCCTTCTCCTCCGTTCTCCTCCCAGGACCTTGGGCCCACATGCACACGCGCCTAGCGTGAGTCTAAGCCACCAGGTCCAGGACTTAAACCATGGTCGACTACATGGGAGTTCAGCGACATAGCCATTACACTAACTGCTGGTCCTTCTGGGACCTGCATCTTAACCAGACCCCAGATGGCTCACATGTGCATCCAAGTTTGAAAATATGAAACCATTCTCTCTAGAAGATGGACTCTATTGCAGGTGTTTGGGAGTGCTTGCTAAAATAGCAACTGATTTTTTTTTTTTTTTTTTGTCAGAGCCTGTGTGCTCACTGAGCCTGTGCTTTATAGAGAGAAGGAGAAAAGCTCCCATAATGGAGCATGGTCATGCCTCAATCCCTTCTCCTCCATTTCTCCATTCTGTCAGGATTTGGGCAATGCATGCCATCATATTTTTCAAGATGCTAGGCCAGGATCTGAGATACAGTTGTCCATGTGGGATCTGGCCCATCTACAAGGCCACAGGCTGACCAAAAACAGCAACAACTTTTTTTGGAGAGTTTTTTGCTATAGGGTGTGTACACTTGCCAGAAAGTCAGAGAGATACAGAGCGATAGAAAGTGAGAAATCACCCCCCAGGGAGTATGGCCACGCCACAATCCCTTCTACTCCATTCTCCTCTCGGGATCTTGGGCACACACGCACACGCACCCAGCATGAATTTAAGCCACCAGGTCCGGGACTCGAACTGTGGTCGACTACATGGGAGTCCAGCGACATAGCCATTACGCTAACTGCTGGTCCTGAAACAGCAGCTTATTCTTGAATGATGCAGCAAGCATGTGTGAGTTCCTTTTGACGGTAATGTGCCCGTGATCTATTAGGGTTCTATAGCAAGCCTGTGACTGTTTAAATCTGGCGACCATGTCATTCAGTTAGAATTTAACTGCCATCTCCACATCAGTTGCCACGAGAGGGTGGAAAGTGGACTCTGCTAACACTAAGACCCAGGTTTTCCTTTCATGAGGTATATGACCTTGGTCATAGCTGTATGACTTCTGTGTGCCAGTCACTCTGCCGGGTACTTATGCAAACATGATCCGCTTCCTTAACTACTGAGTGAGGGATGTCAGCCCCTCCCACACAGGGTGTCTCATTAGGATCCAAGGAGATAATGTGCATCTTAGAGCTTTACATGCTATAAATAGGACAGATTCTTACTTAATATTTGATTATAAAAATGTGTATTTGTAGGGAATCTAGTATGATCCAAGACCTGTGATAAGTTTATCTAATTCAAAGATATTTGTTATCATTAAAATAGGCTAATCAAAATAGATCTATTTTTTTTTTTTTGCTTTTGAAAGAAAATGATGTCAAGATTAGATCAAAACATACACTTAGCAATACATGAGTCATAGAGACGGTGTGGAAAAAGCGTTGAAACATCTCAGCATTTTGCCCAGTTGGATTCTGGCACAGTTGTCCAGTCAACCCCAATAATCCTCTCTGTTTTCCATTCCCCAGGCATGCGCCAAGGCAATGACTATGGCACTCAGTACCGCTCAGCCATCTATCCAACCTCTGCCAAGCAGATGGAGGCCGCCCTGAAGTCCAAAGAGGACTACCAGAAGGTAGGGGCTCCTCTAGCTCCAGCTCCGGGCCAGGTCTCCAGATTAGAGGGGGGGTCGGGTCCTTTTTGCATGGAAAAATCGTCTCTTTGCACAATTTTTAAAAATTTCTGCCCACCTCTTATAATAGCGTCACAACAAATGTACAAAATGAAATTTTAAGAGTATGTCTCTTTAAAATCAATTCGCTCAAATGAATGTGTAGCTTGTTAAAATACAGACTTTCTTGCCTTCTTTGTTTCGCTTTGCCTCTTTGTCTCTGGAACTCTCTTCCTTCCTTTCCTTCTCTCTGTGTTAGTGTGATAGGTCTACCATAATTAAACCCCATAGGCCAGGGTGACTTAACAGAAATGTATCATCTCACCGTTCTGGAGGCTAGAAATCCAAAATCAAGGTTTTAGAAGAGCTGACTACTTCTGAAGGCTGTGAGAAAAGAATCTATTCATTCCAGGCTTTTCCCCTTGGCCTGTGGAGAACTGTTTTCTTTTTGTATATATTCACCTTGTCTTCTTTAATGTGTGTCTATTTCTGTGCCTAATTTCCCATGTTTATAAGGACTCCAGTCATGTTGGGTTAGGGCTAACCCTAATGACCTCATTTAACTTGATCACTTATGTAAAGACTGTCTCCAAATAAGGTCACATTGTGAGAAGTTAGGACTCCAGTGGATCTTTCTGGAGGAGACACAATTCAGTCCTTAACACTCCCTCTTTTGCTAGGAGCAGTAAAATGAATTATAATAAAAATACTTCTCAGAAATCTATATCACAAAATAATTATTTCACAACTAACTTGTGTCACAAGTTAAAAATCTCCTCCACTAGATATTTAGGGTATTTATTTTCTAACTCAACTTGCTTTACTTTTAGAGTTTTGTGATAATGCTGAAACTTTATCATATTTTTTAATATGGATTCACCTTTAACTATAGACTTAGTAGCTACTATAATGCTCATCTGTTGTAGAATTATGTAAAGAGTCAGTATACATCATCCCCTAGGAATGTGTGGGTTCTTCATTTTTCCCCCATGGTGACACAGAGGTGGCGATGTGGAGGAAACTGGGACAAGAGTATACCAGCTGATGAGCAAGCAGCAGGACATGCAATTCATGGTCAGTTTGACTCTGACAAGTATAGAGTGTGGCAGGAGATGCTGATGAGGTCCCATTCACCCCTCAGTTCCTTCTTGCCTCCCTCCAAGGCTGTAACATCTCCTGGCCTGATAATGGAAGGCAGCCTGTAGGATGGCCCCCAGAGTCTCAGCCCATATGTAAGCCCCTCTCCTTCAGTATGGACTGGTTTTAATGACTCACTTCTAATAGATGACAGAAGTGGTGGACTGCCATTTTTGATATTAGGTTATTAAAAGATTGTGACTCCTATCTTGAGAGCCTCTCTCTCTCTCTGTCTCACTTTCTCTGGGATCACTTATCTTGTGGGGAGCTATCTGCTATATCATGAGTTAGCCCTGTGTGATGCTCATGTGGCAAGAGATGAAGACCTGCCAAGAATCACATGAGGGAGCTTGGAATCACCTTTATCCCAGTTAAGCCTTCAGATGAGACTGCAACTCTGGCTGACAATTTGAGCACAACCTTATGAAAGACCTCAAACCAGAAACAACCAGATAGACTACCTTAGAAACTGTGAGATAATGATAAATGTTTCTTAAAGCTACTGAGTTTCGGGGTAATTTCAGTATACTCATATTTCTGTCTTAAAAATCTTTTACCTATAAAAGGTCTTTTCTCATATCCTCTCCATCATGGCTTTTGTTACAATGGTGGTCTTGCCTGGCATATATAGTGATGATTATACATGTAGCATCAAATTGTCTCAGTTTACACATCAGCTGTGTAACTTATCAAGTGCTTAACACTTGGCCATATAGTGTTATTTAGCTCAAGGAAACCTATGCACATATGCACAAACCTATGCACTATCACCCCCATTTTTAGATTCTAAAAGACATAAAGTTTCATCAGTAAAAGAACTGGAGTTAAAGAGGTAAAAGACTGGATGGAGGGAGACTAGTTGGGCAGCTGTTGTAGGTCTCCATGGCAGAAATGGTGAGAGTTTTGACTAGGATGGTGGAAGTATGAATGGAATGGAGGGATATTTAGGAAGTAGAACTCATAGAACTTGGAATTTGATTGAAAGTGGAGTCAATTGGAGGTGAGGGTTCCAGGTGACATGTGTGCCTGGCTAGTGATGCATCATACAAAAGTATGGAGGAGCACAGGCAAGTTGGTGGAAAAGGGAAGTTAAGATTTGGAAATACAAAATTTGAGATACCTGTGATAGGGGCATCCAAGTGGTTGTTCAGAAGAGATGTAAGATGTTCATGCTTTCTGTGTTTAGGGAGGCGGGGTTTGTGCCTCCCTGTTAGGATAATGCTTGTGAAGCTCAGGGCCCAGCACATGGTAAGCACTCAATAAATAGAGCCCTTATTATTATTGGGAGTTGTCAATTTCTATTTGGCAAATGAAGCTCTAGTTGTTGATAAGATCAAAAAAGATGAGAAATGAAGGCACTTAGGACCTAAGGAACACCAATATTTGAGAGATGGGGAAGAGAATGCCTTCACTAGGCACCAGAGAGAATCAGCCCCAAGCAAGAACTTAAAAAGTAGTTCTAGTTGGTTTAATCCTACTACATTTAATTATAAAGGCAATGTTAGTAATTAATACTGAAAGTCACATATGATTAATGCTATAAATTGCCTAATGTAATGATTCAAAGTCCCTTAGGGTACCAACAGCAATGCTAAGAGACTCTGGAAGGATATTAACTTCCCTCTGGAGCTTCTCAAAATGAGATGATGTTCTGGTTGTCACAATGAAGATTTTAAGTTCAAAAGGTCAGTGCCTTCCATGTGATGATGAAAAGACTTACTTATATCTCATTTCCCAGTTTCTACCCCAGTAGTTTCTTACCCTTTGCTTTGACATGTTGATTTTAGACAAATGATATCCATAGGAAAAAAACATATATTAAATAATATATAATAATATGTTAAATATTAAATAATTAATTAGCTGTATTAATAATTCCTTTATTATTTTTGTAGACTTTGGAAATGTTCATTTTATTGTCTAGACAGTTGTTTCAATCAAATGTTTTTTGTGTATTCTGTACCTAAGAAAATTAGAATTAAATTATATATATGCATGTACATACACATACACATACATGTATACATACATACACACATGTACACACTTATAGTTGGCTCTTGATACCTCTTGATTGTGAGTTCGACATGTATAAATTCAGCCAACTGCCCATCAAAAATATTAGGGAAAAAATACAACAATAAAAAATAATAATACAGTCTAACAACTATGTATATAATATTTACATCGCATCAGGTGTTATAAGCAACTTAGAGATGATTTAAAGTATACAGGAAGATGTGCTTAGCTTAGGTTATATGCAAAAACTACACCATTTTATGTAAGGGACTTGAGCATCTGTGAGTTTTAATATACATATGGTTCTAGAACCAATCACCCACAATACTGAGGAATGGCTGTGTGTGTGTGTACGCGCGTGCATGTGCACATGTGGTTGGTTGTTTGTATTTTAAAAGTAGGGTCTTTCTCCCCCAAAGATTAGGAACTCCTGTGCCTTCAGATATTCAGGTATCCATTGCTGTTCACATAACCTCATGTGACTATAACTGCTTTATCACCAGCTCAGGGATACTGTCTGTCACGTCTCTTTCATTTGATCATATAAGTAAAACTGGCCCTGGATTCCACAGAGAGGTGTGTAGGACATCCATCATTTCTCTTCCACCTAATTAACTAAAGCCAGAGAATCTTGACTTCCCACTAGCACTTCCAGGACCATGCAACTTTCTCCCATGATGGCCACGGCCTTCTCTGTGCTATGCAATATAGTAACTTCTAGCCACAGGTGGCTGCAGAGAACTTGAAATGTCGTGCCCGCACTGAAGAAAACGTGACATGCGGCTGCCATAACTGAGGAACTGAATATTTTATTTTATTTTATTTTATTTTATTTTATTTTATTTTATTTTATATTTACATAGCCACTTATGTGGTGGCTCCCATATCAGACAGCACAGCAGTCCAGTAAGGAGTGAGTGTGTTTGTGTGCATATGCATGTGCATTGGAGGGGTAGGGACATGTCCATCTGGTCTCTGGTGGGAAGACTCAGGATTCCAAGCCTCCTACTCTTGCTGTGGCTTATCTTAAGAGCATGGGACTGCCATGGAACACAGATCCTCCTGCCCATCAGAGGAGCTGCACCAGGTACTACTCTCTCCTTTTCCTTTCTGTAGGAAAGCATGACTGTATATCATTTTCCTTTTCAGGAATCAAAATGTCTCATTGCATACCCAATCCTGGTTAGCAACTGGGCTAACTGCATACTTGTACTCAGATGACCACTATGATTTTTATCTTAGCTTGGGTTCCATAGAAAGAAAAGATTTTTATCTTAGCTTGGGTTCTAAGAAAAAGGCTTGTGTGTGAGGATGTATGGTGGTGTGTGGTGCCTGGGAATAGGAGTAAGGGGAATATATTAGTTCGTGATTGTGTTGCTAAACAGTAATACCGGAGATGGGCGATATATAAAGAATAGAAAGTCTAAGAGCATGGGCCCACATCTGGCTGGCCCTGGCCCTGTGTCACAACATGGCCAATAGAAGCAGGAAGGAAAGCAGCCTGGGCAGAGTCCTGCAGGCAGCCATCTGGGAGATGACCCCATTCCTGAGAGAACTCACTGCCTTTCGTGAGACAGCATCATTCTGTTCATGAGGGTGATGTCCTGTGACCCATACTTCGCCCACCAGGCACCCTCTCCCAAAGTTCCCACCACCTCTCAACACCGTTTCATGCTGACCAGGCTTACAGCCCATGAGCCTTTGTGAGGGGGATAAACCATGTCCAAACCACAGCATGCTGAGAGAAGGAAAAGGAGGAAGACCTAGTACAAGTTGACCCTTGCTACAGTCATGGATCTTAGGGGTTGTTTGAGCCTTACAAAGTGTCCTGTCATTTCTGTGGAGGAAAAGGAAGCCCAATGTGGTGGATGCCATACCCTGTGGGTTCTCTCGGCCTTTCTGGGTTATGGATGGGCTTCGGATACTACCATGTCCCTGAGGCAGGAGGCATACGTGGCATGAGTGTGAGGTGAGGCATGGTAGATATCTGCAGCTGCAGAAAGCTGATGAGAGACCACCTAGAACTGGGTACTTCCATGGCAGGGGCTAGAGAAGGAGGCAGGGGAGGTCACAAGAATCCAAAGTGATGCGTGAGAGATATCTGAGACAAAGTGCATGTAAGTGGTGTCTGATGGGACCATCTGTAAAGGGTCCACCCCACACCCGCTCCCACTCCAGCGAAGGCAGCTGACTACAAGGATGATTTACCAATATTGGGTGCCTTCTGGAACTTCTGTTGAGCAGAGAGAGAAAAACACAAGCTTAATT